TTTCTGAGTTGCTTATTCAAATCGTTTTTTATTAAATTTTAAAAACCAAAATTGAATCAAAATTATCAAAAATTAATCGATTTAGTTATCAATAAAATTAATTTGATTTTGGTTTTTGATAAATAAATAATAATTAATTATTTTTTTAATAATATATTATATTTATCACATATTTTTTTATATTTTATCATATTTATCATAATTTCAATTTTTAAGGGACTTATTTTTTATTTTTAATTTTTAAAAAATTCAACCAAAATTAAATCAAAATATATTCTATTAATACCAAAATTAAAAAAATCAAAATTAAAAACCATTAAAACCAAATCAAATTCACTTTTTCAATTTGATTTTCGAGTAACTCATCAATTCGGTTTTAAATGCCCAGCCCTACTCTAAACCATTAATATGCTCTTTTGGTCAAACATTCCATTATAATCTAGTTATCTAGATTCTAGACCTCTATCAATCTACTTTTGACAATGATAAACACTACTTCTGTGACGTCGCAGCTAGAGTGGCTTGATTTATGGCTTGATCCGTTTTATTATTCCTCTTGCGCATCTCCACACCTCGTCTATGTACCAGTTAGGACAAGAAAAGGAAAAAAAAGAAAGGAGAAAAAGAAACAGAAGAAGAAAAGTGCAGTTGAATTGAATTGTACGTAGGAGGAAGGAAAATGAGTTGATTTGTACAGGAGTGAAGAAAACAGCACTTTTACAATAATTTTTTTTAGTAGAATTTTTATTAAAAATTTTAGTCACATGCACTTAATTTTTTGGATCAACTGATATCCTATCAACTTGAAATGCATTCTTCCTTTCTTATGGGCAGTGACAACTTGTTAAAAAAAAAAAAATTTCAGTCACATAAAATGGACAATAAATTTTATTCTTTGTAACAATTAATAAGAAAGTAATTTTTTATAAATTTTTTAATTTCAACATAAATAATTTGTATTTAATTAAACTAAAGAAAAATTAATTTTAACATGCATATAAATACTTCGAGTGAAAAAAAAAAGAAAAAAATCTAAGTGCATGAAATACTTGAATCAAAATGTATTTCATTCCTTAAATTCAAAACAAATGTTGTGCCTGCACGTGAAACCCCCTGTTGGCACTAAACCTGACGGCAACATGAGTTTTTACATGATAATTTGATATTAGAACAATAAATCATGGGCCTAAAGCCCTTTTCGTTCAGCTGGGCTCAACTTAAAATCTGGTTATGGCCCATAAGATTTTCAAGAGTTGACGGTCCGTGGGCGAACGAGTTACGCCCCGCCTCAGTGAGTCAAGACGACCGATTTTATTGTTTCTAAAACCTCGTCCGGCAGCCACCAGCCGTTCAGCACCGAGCGAATCCTTAAGGTTTCTCGCCGGAAAATCTCACAATGGCGTCGTGGAAGATAGCGTCTAGGTTATCGTCTCGGTCGCAGCCTATTGCCGTGAAGCTCAGCAAAACATCTGTTTCTCTGCTCTCATCAGCTTCTCAGTCTCCGGCTAGACGCATTTCTCGCATCCCTAGGTGAGATGCGATCTTCGTTCTTTCGTTTTCATTTGATTTCTGCAAAGATTTATGACAATACTGAATCTTTGAAGATTAAGATCCCAAAGAAAGTTCGAATTTCAGCTTTGCTAATCAGTGAATGTATGTTTTTGTTTCCTATAAGATTACCAAGGGCGTTGAGTAGTATAGGATCGATGATGCCACTCCATAGCGCAACAGCTTCAGCAAGATTATTATCCAGCTTGTCTATTGAGGGTAGCGGTTGGGGATTAGTTCCCCAAGGTTAGTTTGCTCTCAAAATTTGCTAGAAAACTGCAACTTCAATGGAATTTACTATCTTCCTGTATCTAAATTAATTCACATTTATTTGCTTTGGTTGTTTCAACTGGTAAGAATGTGAGACTCCAAGTTGGAGATGTTAGATTCAAACCTTGAGATGGGTAGACAAAGATGGGGCCTTTCCCTAATGTATAGTCCATCATCAAATATTTATCAACAAAAAATGAAAAAATCCACATTTATTTGAAAGAAGAACATGAAAATTTTGTTACTGTGGAAAAGAATCCAAGAAACAGCACCCTTTGTGTAGGATAGGGATTAGCAAGAAATTGTACTAGTGGTTTGTTGACACTTGACAGGTAAAATGCAAAGGTTTTGGATGAGGTTTTGGTTGAGGAACAAAATAGAAAAGAATGGTTAAGGGGATTGGACGTTATGTTTGTAAATCTCTTCTTTACTAAATTTTGTGGATGACTGAAAGTTTATGGGAGTTTAATGAGTCAATCTACTAGGAAAACAATGTAACAAATCAAATTACCATTGTAGCATAGTTGTTTGTCCTGTTAAGTCATTTTATTTCATTTTGTTTGGAAATGCTTATGCATCCCCATGATATCAAAAGGTGTTGTGATTCATATAATAGTTTGAAAGATCAAGTTTATCATTTATGAGTTATGGTGCAGCCTCTTTGGTTTAGAACTGCTGGAGAAAATTTTGAAAGAAGAAACACAAGTGAAAGAAGAAACACCAAGAAGGATACATGGACAACCAAAATGAAAAAGAAAATAAAACACCAGAATGATACCTGTATAGTTTCTTTCATAAATAAAACTCTTTTCTCAAGCCTCATGAAATCTAATGGAGGTTGTACATTAAGTCAATATCATTATGTTTCATATTTTTCATGTGGAATAAGTTACACATGTTAATGTTCTTGCATCTGTATTGCAGGTATCTCAATGCCTTTATGACAGCTTCATGGAGTCAGAAGTGGCCATGAATGTAGGAAATTAGGAATCACGTTAACACCTGTTTAATGTTTTTGTCTCCCCTCTGGTTTCAGAGGCACAGGATTTTAGGTGTTTACCAATATCCTTAAGGTGCACTGGCTACAGATTCAACATGAATTAGTACATTGACTTATTGTTTAAACTTTATTCTCTTCAGCTGGCTTTTACTTTTGAATTCCTCCTACTCAATATGGATTTTTAATTTTTACCATGTTGAGGAAACAGTTATCCTCTATAATAAGGAGAGGTGCTCATTCCTATACCCTCACCGTCCCATGTATCATTACTGCATTCAGTTGTTTGATTTTTCATTTGGCAGGCTGATCTGAAAAAGTAGTTGTATTATGATTAACAATTAGTTTGAAGGTTATATCTCTTTGCCGGCTAAAAAAAGATCTTTTCCATTTTGACTTGGAAGTCAGCTGACTCACAAGAAGATGACCCCTTGTGAAAAAGGGTACGAGCAAAAGAAACACTAGCCAGCTACATTTGCTGAAGTCACAGTTCATATAGCATGGCCATCTGATGCTAAATTGTTAATGTGAACTGAAGCATGCATTCCTTAACTTTGGTATTGTCAAGGAGGGGCGGATAACTTATTAAACTGATATCGGCAGTAACATGTATTGTTAATCTCAAACACCCTCCTCCTGGCACCTACGCTCCATTGCTTCCTTGTTTCAACAGTTTTCATGATTGTGGTCATCGTGATATCGCTATGAGTAGAATTTTTTCCTCCCCACCCTTTTGTTTTGGCCATAAGAGTGGGATGTTGTTGAAAGACATTATTCTAGGAGTGAAGCATAAAGCCCCGAAATTTAACTGTGATCCTACTAGTTACCAGTTTGAACAATGTAGTTTGGCTAGACTATTCAGTGATGTGAGCTGAAATACTCTGCAGAGCAGCCGCGCCAATTTTTTGTGAGTCATGTTTCTCTGTTTAGTATCTTCTTCTGTAATATTAGTGAGAGAGAGCGAAATTGACCTTAAGACATTTAACAAGTCACTCTCCATCCGCCTCAAGCTAAGAGCTACAACTTTGAGTCTTAATTTGCATCAATTGAGACTAGAGTTGTAGATGAACAGGGTTGAGTATTTGAGTGCTAGAGCTTGAGTCCAAAGCTATAGTAATAATTTTGAGTCAAGCTTCTATCGAGTACCTTACCTCATTTACATTCCTAGTTGAAACATCCTTTAAGGGTAATTGAACATAAAAAATAATTAAGGTATGATTACTGGCTTTTTTTCGTTTTTAAGAACAGAAGAAGAATGCCCTTTTTATCTTAAAATGAAAGATAAGTACTATTTTTTGCAGTTCTCAATTTTCAAAGGGCCTATTTATGCAATTCCAAGTTCAGTGCAGAGCCCCCAAACTTCTCTCAAGTTTATAGTATAATCCCATATCAGAAAGACGGGGAGAGGTCTCCCAACGGCCACACATGGCCTCCTTCACCTTCAACATTCCCCCACAGCATAAGCATCTCTTCTTCTCATTCAGTCTCTGTAAGTGCCCATCTTACTCCACTTCTTTAAAGTTCAATAATTTATGCCATTTTCTCCTCCCTCCGCCTCCCAAACACACTCTTCCACCAACAGTTCCTCAGAATTTTGTATATAGGGGTGGTGTTAGGCACATACATGCTAAGTTATCTGCAGAAAACCCTGAAACCTCCACAAAAACTCTGAATACAAATACTAGGAAAGGTCATAATTCTTTGACGGCTGGAGATGAGGGAGTACAGAGAAACTCTTTGGAAAATCATTTCGGTTCGGTATTGAATGAGAAGAGGGCAGCAGAGAGGTTGGCAAAGGATAATGACCCAAGAAACATGGAGAATTTAAGGTTTAAAAGAGGGAGAGAAATGGGCTCTGGGAATTCTTCTGTGAGGCTTAAGGATGAGAACTGGGCAATGAAAAGTGAGACTAATTTAGCTGTTAGCAAAAGGGAGGAGAAAAATAACAAGAAGGATGGTAACGGTGTATTGGGAGAGAAAAAGGTGGAGGAACCATCCAAGAAGAAAAGTAAGGCTGATTCGCCCGGCAAAACATTGAGAGTTGAGTTGGATATGTGCTCAAAGAGGGGAGATGTAATGGGGGCAATTCAGTTGCATGATAAGGCTTTGAGAGAAGGAATTAAAATAGGGCAGTATCATTATGCTGTGCTTTTATATCTTTGTTCTTCTGCAGCAATGGGTGTTGTTCAGCCTGCTAAAAGTGGGACTGGTAGTCGAACTCTGAATGCCTTAAACATGTCCTCTGAAACTTCATATGTGAATTCCGTAGAATTAAGTGAATCAATAGATAAAGAAAACAAGAGTTCTAGTGTGAGAGAATTGAGCAATCATCTTTCAAATAATGGGAAATTGGTCAATAGTGGTAGCATTGTTCAAGATAAGATGGAATTAAAAGTTAATAATCTAGACAGTAGTTTTGATGAGAAGGAGAAGGTGACCCACTTTTCCAGTTGGTCTGTGACTCCATGTTCTCAACTCTTAGATGGTTTTGTTGACCGACAAAAGGGTGATATTGATCATTCACATGAAGAGGATGGAAGCAGAAGTGAAGAGGAAGACTATGAAATTCTGGTTACTGAAGATGTTAGGGGGTATTCACTCCAAAGGGGTTTTGAGATCTATGAGAAGATGTGTAAGGATAATGTCCCAATGAATGAAGCAATCTTGACTTCTGTGGCAAGAATGGCAATGTCAATGGGTAATGGGGACATGGCATTTGATATGGTGAAGCAAATGAAGGTTCTTGGGATAAATCCTAGATTGCGGTCTTATGGTCCGGCTCTGTTTGCTTTTTGCAAGAGTGGAGATATTGAGAAAGCATTTGCTGTTGAAAAACACATGTTGGAGCATGGTGTCATTCCAGAAGAGCCTGAACTGCAGGCACTCTTAAAAATAAGTGTTGAAGCTGGTAAAGGTGACAAGGTGTATTATGTATTACACAAATTAAGAACAACTGTTAGGAAGGTGTCACCTTCTACTGCAGACATAATTGTCAAATGGTTTGAGGGCAAGGCAGCCTCAAGAACGGGGAAAATAAAGCTGCAACAAAGTAAAATAAGGGAAGCAATTGAAAATGGAGGTGGAGGCTGGCATGGACAGGGTTGGTTAGGTAAAGGTAGGTGGACAATAACACGCACAACTGTGGGAGCTGATGCATTGTGTAAATGTTGTGGGGAAAAGTTGGCGTTAATTGACCTTGATCCTTTAGAGACAGAGAAGTTTGCTAAATCAGTTGCATCCTTGGCCATAAAGAGACAGAAAAAGTTCAGCTTTCAAAAATTTCAAGTATGAAGGGTCCTTGATCTTTTTCTTTTCTTTTTAATATCTAAAGTCATTCTTATCATGCATGTAGGTTTAATAAAGTGGTAAAATTTATTTATGTACTTGCAGAAATGGCTTGACTGTTATGGACCATTTGAAGCTGTGATAGACGCGGCTAATGTTGGCCTTTTCAGCCAAAAGGGTTTCAATACATTAAAGGTTAACCATTGAATATTGGGGATTTTTTGAACAGCCACTGAAAATTGCTGCTTAAATTAACAAATGTTTGAAAACTTCAGTCAAATATTTACCTTTGCTTTTTAGTGATTGATATTGAGTCTTCTTTGGGCTTAATTTGTTAGGTCAATGCTGTTGTCAACAAAATACGAAAAAAGCTTCTATCAAGAAAATGGCCTCTCATTGTTTTGCATAACAGGCATATCACTGAACAGATGACAGACAAACCAGTAAATAGGGCAATAATTGAGAAGTGGAAAACAGCTGATGCGCTATATGCAACGCCTTCAGGATCCAATGATGATTGGTAAGAACCATCTGTTTAGAAACTATACTTAGCTCCACATAAAAATCGTTTTATTTAACTCATATCCACTCTCAGCATCTGCTAAATCCATTTAAAACCCAATGGCAATAATTGTGCTTCAGGTATTGGTTGTATGCAGCTATAAAATCCAAATGCTTACTTGTGACAAATGATGAAATGAGAGACCACACATTTCAACTTCTAGGAAATGATATCTTTCCAAAGTGGAAAGAAAGGCATCAAGTGAGTAAGCCTATTGAATTGTATGCAAATCTTGAAACTTACCTACCTTGTATGATTCTCTAATGTTAGCCCCTATTCCATATTTAAGGTACGTTTCAGTTTTTCTGATGCCAGTCCAGTGCTCCATATGCCTCCTCCTTTTTCAGTTGTAATTCAGGTCAGACTAACGAGCTTTCTCAGTTTGATACATAAACAATGAGGAAAGGAAAAGGATGAGCATTTAGCATAGTCTTTTGTATATTACTAGAAAACTTTCAAAGTCAGGTTTTTTGCATGCACTATCATAACTTGATGAGAAATAATAGAAACAGGAATCGGAGAAAGGCCACTGGCATATCCCAATTGCATGTGAACTTGAGTATGAGACAAAAAGAGAATGGTTATGCATTATACGTGATAACACGGATGTGGTGGGACAAGCATCTGCTACTATGCCTGAAGGTAAAAAAAAGGCTGGTTTGTTGAATTTTCTTCAGTTTGAATATAAAGGGTTGCAACTTGCCATCTGCTCTCTAAGCTGCAAATTGTAATTTCATAACTGCATGTGAGGCAAACTTCTGCAACTATGCCTAAGAAAACAGAGTTTGATTTTTCCAATTTTCCTCATTTCAAATAGAAGAGTTGACCATCTGCACTGTCTTAAGCTGTGAATTACTGATTTCATTGTAGCAATGATAGCATGTATTGTACTTGTGTGGAATTACTTTTAAGGTGAGTAGTTGTATTGATAACATGTATTGTACTTGTTTGGAATTACTTTTAAGGTGAGTAGTTGTATCAGGTGCATCTTTTTACATTGTAACATAGGATGATTGATGCTTCTTTTTATGAATTTTTTCTGGTATATATCTTCTTATTATTTTCTTGGTTATCAATGTAATGCATTAGAGAATTTTGAAACAGATTAGTAAATTGACTTGTTTGAGAATAGAGTAGATTACCAGTGCATGTTGATCTGTTAACATTACTGAGAATTCTTGCAATTAACAGCTGTGCAACCACCTATCCATAACCATGGGCGTCCAACGTCAACAACTCAAACCAAAGTCCAGCAAAAGTCTCTGCCAAAAATTGATGGCAAGCAGGAGAAAGCACCAAAGCCTAACAAGGAAATATACAAAAACATCAGACATATTTTGTCAGGATTACCGTTCTCAAATCGTGTCACAGTTCTATCACAACAGATTGAGGCTGCTGAGAAGCAGGGTAACTGCATTATTGATTTTCAAATATAAAGCAAATGGCTTTCTCATGCAGTTCTTGAATATCTACAAACCTCTTACGCTGCAGCAAAAGTAACCATTCTCGTTTGGGTGCCTTTCAAAATTAACCAACACATTCTTTAGTATGTTTCCTTCTCAAATTGGTGGGGGGTAAGAGAAGGAAGAATGATGAGACTTTTTTCAGAGGCAGTTTATTCATTTGCTTTAACAGAGTCTAGATTTTGTGAATTATAATGTAATTATAACTTGTATGGGCCTTTTCATGGAATATTTTGAGCTGGGAAAAGGTGACATTATATTGTACCAATACTCGTTTGTTTGCTGAGAATATAAATAACAAGGCTTTCCTCGAAAAAGTAATATTTCAAAAATTAAGCTTAAAGTAGTGAACAAATCAAGTAATTAGAGAAAGCAAATGAATTCAGAATCTTCAACGGATTTCGTTTCTCTAATTTGAAAGCTCTTTATACAAAAGTGATTACTTCTCACCATCTGTTTTAAAGATTACTAGTGTCTTTTCCATTGCTTTTCTTGGCATTATCATAATTAACTTGTCTTTAAAATATTTTTTTAAAAGAAAATTAGGGAATAAGCTATAGACTTCTGCTTCTTCTTCTTCACTTTTTTAATTTTTTGAATATGGCAACGAAGGAAGCCATGTAGTTCAAGTGGCCTAACTTTGATGTTTAAAACGCTTCCTCATGGATTGTCGTTGGCATAACTTGTAATCTCCTCCTCATTTCCCTCCTTCACGGTGTTAACTTGGCCTGTTTATAAGGAGTATTTTAAGAAAAATGCACTTTCAAAAACTTTGAGTCTTTGATCTGGGCCATTTCAATGTTTTTTCATAGAGTTTTGTCTTAGTTTGAAAAAGATGAGAATGTAGTGGTGGGGTTTGGTAGGTTTAAATTGGTTACAATTTTTTTTTTTTTTAAATTGGTTCCATAACGGTACGTAACATATTTCTTATCTTAATTCATAAATATACTATGCGACTTAAATTTAAAATTTTTTATTTTTTATTTTTTAAAAATTTAAATCGTTGGTGGTTAGAGTACTTTTTTTTTTTATTGTGGGTGGCATAATTTAAAAGTTGACGGAGACCTTACCTCTTTTTTAGATTAATTTAAGTATGATTTCGGTGATCCATAAAAGGAGACTTTAACGTGTCTTTGATATGTTTTTCAATGGGTGAGAATTCTTGTTTATCAAATTACCTGTTTTTTCCAAGAAGTTAATATAATAATTGAGGTTTTTTCACAATATTTTTAAGTATTTTAATTTTTAATTTTTAAGTATTTTTATTATTTTTAAAAATATATAAAATATTAATTAAAATAAATATTAAATATATAAAATATATTTTGTATATTTTTAACATACTAAAAAATTAAAAAATTTATGATTATAATTACATATCAATGTTGTTAAATTGAACTTAAAAATGTCTAGTTGTCGATACAGTGTTACTTTTTTCTTAGTTGAAAATATGTTGCTTATAAGTCACAGTATAAAGATTCATATATAATCTTGATTTCATCATTTTAATTACAATTTCTATTTCTCACAACGAAAAAAAAAATATCGAGTCTTTGGTTATCATTCAGGCAAATTAATCTTTCGAAGGGTGCTTTGGATTGAAGGAAATTAAAGTTTTTACCCAACCCTCTCTTTACTTGAATTATTTAGAATTACTTTCGTATTTTTACAATTTAATATTATAATAAAAGAATGTAAATTTTATATTTTTAATGTTTATATTTTAATATAATTTAATAATATTTTCATTTTACATTTTTTTTAAAATAATTTTTTCTCGTAACTTTTTTAACATGAGACTTACTTAATATCTTTTCAATATTAATTTTTTAACAAACATAAAAAGATTTACAAAATTTTATTATAAAACACAGTATTTTTTATACAATATTTTCAAATATTCACCCTGTTTTCACTTTTTAGTAAAAATTTTCCCAATACTATTGATCTCTAACCAAGCAGCCCTGGATGTAGAAAATTAATGTAGAGTTATGCTCCTAAATTTTTTCTTTTTGAGAAAATATGAAAGGGAAATTAATGTACATAAATAAAAAATAAAATAAAAATTTACCTAACTTGTATTTTTAACATACATATTAAAAATGTAATAAATATATTTTTTGTAATTAATTAACATTAAAAATTATAAAAATTGACATGTATTTTAACATTATTAACATATAAATAATTTTAATTAATTAATTAAATTAAATTAAAATTCATATTTATACTTTTAATAAAAATTAATCATAAAAAATATATTTATAGGACACATAAAAAGAATTCATAAAATAATAACATTGGAACCATAGTCAGCTCGCATGCGCCATGCAGGTAGCCCGACACATAGAATTAAAAAGAAAGAAACCTTATTTTCCCTATAAATTGTTAAAAAATAGAGGAAAAACCTTTTCTTAAGCCCTCAAATTTACCCAATTTTATCAGATATGCCCATAAAATAAAAACAAGCAAGTAAGCCATTAAATCATTCAATTAAAGCAAATTAACCATTCGTTGATAACTATTGATGGTTTTTATTCAATAAAAGAAATGATTGTCATTAAAGTATATTTATTTAATAATTAAAAAATAAATAATTTCATCTAATTACCACATTAATACATGAATTTTTCTATTTTATGTTTTAGATGCACAAATTAAGGGTATAATAAATACATTTTTTTATAGTTAATTTATATAGAAATGATAAAAGTTGATTTAAATTTAATCAGTTGATTTAAATTTAATCAATTGATTAATTAAAATTATCAACCTAATAATGACAATAAAATAAAGTTAAAATTTATGATTTTTTATATAAATTAATGATAAAAAACACATTTATTACAATTTTAACTACATCTTTAAGATACAAATTAAACAAACTCTTAATACATTAATGAAAGTTACTTTTTAAATTGTCATATCAGTTAATCGGGTTAACAAAAGGTTAATTTATTGCAATTTGAGCAATTGAAGGACATATTCGCTTGTTTTTTTTTGTTTAGGAGCTAGATGCCAAAAATCAAAAAGAGAAATTCCGCGACTGGAAACAGACGAGCCCACAGTTTCGTCGCCTGAAAGCGCCCGCCGTTTGAGCTTGCATCATTTTTCACAAAAACCAACTCCCCCGATCAAAGTTTCAGAAGGCTACTCTCTACTCTGCACCTAACTCTCCCTCTGAAAGCGATTACAGGAGACATGGATTCTGTGTTTGGGAACGTCGTTCAAGCTCCCGAAGATCCTATTTTAGGGGTATGAAACTATGAACTCTCGACATCATCTTGATCCTTTTTCTTCTCGTTTCCTCTTATTTGAAATCTTCATGTTTGATTCCATGGATTTCTCTGGTCGGATCATACTCCTTTGATCTCAAAACCCAAGTGAAAATCGCATGTTTGTAATCCTCTGTTTCACTTATTTCTCAAGTTTTGTGAAAGTATTTCTGTTTGGTTCGCTTTTTCCTGGATGAATGATTTGATTGGATTCTAATATCTCAACATACAGGTAACTGTTGCTTATAACAAGGATCCCAGCCCAATCAAGTTGAATTTGGGCGTGGGTGCGTACAGGACTGAGGTAATTTCATTTTATGTTTCTTTTGTCAGTGCTGAGCCGTATCTATATGTTTTTT